TTGTGATCAAGGGTTAGCAGGATTCGTGTCGACCTCCCTTCTTATGATCCATTTGAATTTAAAAATTCACACAAAAAATGTTTATATTTTCTGATTGTGCCATTTGGTGTGCATAAAGTCCTGACCCTGGTCTACTATTGTGCAAAGTTTTGATGTTTTAGTTTCAAAACAAAGGAGATATAGGTGTTCAAAGTCGATTCGGGAAGGGAGGTCGACTATCTCAGGGATCAAGGAAAAAATAAATCAATCTCTTTCAAACTCCGCCAGCCAATAGCCTTAGTCATTCCATCTACTTTTTAATTTTTTTTTACTTTCTTGATGATTAAGTACAGTAATGAATCAACCATTCGTTCTAAGTGTCATCATAACTCAACCTTGAAATTTCGACGAATTGATGAACCTGTAGAATCCTTAATCATAAGAGTTAAGAGCTGAAAATTACACACAATATTTCTTAGCTCATTTAGATCATGTGAACGAAGTTTAACGTCATTTGCTCTAACGGTTTTTATTTTATAACTGTTTTTGTGGAATGCCCTCTCTATTCAGACTAGGGAAAGGAGGTCGACCAACAGCTTTTAGACCTTTCTCACGTGCCGTTTTATCAAACAACATCTTATATACTGTTCGAAAGCTCTTTTAAAGAGCAACAAGCTGATGTATTTAAAACTTCAAAAGCCCTCATTGCGCAGGCGCTAGAGAGCCAAAAAGGCTCGAAAGGGATGGGAAATCAACCATTTTTTCTTTATAGGGCAAAAACAATTAAAACAGCTTAAAAATTACAAACATTGCACTTGCCATGTTTGTTCGTTAGTTATGCTATCGTTTAGTTTAATCGGCGTCAAAAATGGTCCATTTGGGAATTTTTTAAAGAATTTTCAAGTTTCTTCTGTTGTATTTGAACCTAACTACTTTATACTTGCAGGTACTATAGCGTCGGCCCTTTTCTTTTAGTCTACCAAGTTTCAGGGGTAAGTCATGAGGTCCTACTAAGTTACAGTCGTTTAAATGAGAGTATGTCTTTTTCACCGATTTGCTGTTCACCTAAGTAACGTAGTTTTGAAAAATTATAAAAACTCCAAATTTACTTGTTTTTCTTGCCATTTTCACCACATGATACATCTTAGATAGTTCTTTCTTATCATATAGATTTAATCAAAATTTTAATAAATAAAATTTTTGCTGGAAGTAACAGAAGTCATGCTTGATTGACAAGTGTCAATCAATGTAAATTTTTAAATTTAGGAACATTGACAGAAAGAAAAAGGACTGGTATTTTATTTCTAAAAGTTTCAACTTGTTTGGTTTAAAACTCTCGAGTCTACACTATGTCAAAGTTGTAACTCTCAGTGGTTTTGGGTGTAATTACACGTTGCGGACCTAGAAGACGCCATTACCGACAAGCTTTTTTGCTCCGCTTTTTTGGCGTTTTTCCACCCTTAAACGACTGCGCAGAGACTGTCCAGTTACCAGAAGATGTTTTTAAGGTGCTCGGGCACCTTTCTTAAACATTTTCTTTGCATAAAAAACGGTTACTTTTGCGCAGGATTTGTTCAAACTTTAAGGGTGCACTGTTGACCATTATGTCGATAAAGAACTTCGTTATTAGAACTTGAGGACCTTTTATTCATGGTTTGTTGTCCCATTATGCTTGTTTGTGTTGTAAGGAACCATTCGGTCTTGGTTTTCTTCACGAAGGTTCCTCTGTTCATTATTGATGACATCATTTGGATGCAAACTTCCCACGTTACTAACTCTGAGTTTTCTAATTATTTATACATTTGATTACTGCTTTTAATAGATCTTATCACAGGCTACTTGCATGTTACATTTCAATGTTAATAATTTAATTCTCGCAAAGTTATGAGCGTTTAAAGTTTCTTCCAAAATGGCGGACATAACTCTCAAACCTAAGCTTCTCCCGGTCTTAACGCCCAAGCGAGGTAAACTTTAACTGCCTATTGCTTCTCGAGGAAATTACCTCAGACTTTCAAAATCTCAGGGATTGGAGAGGGAGTCAAGGCGCTTCAATGAAAGAGTTCGTTTCACGGCACTATAAGAACTGTAAGTACCCAAGTTACCGAAAGTGGCAACTTTGTGCTAAGTTATCTCTAAGAAAATTGAACCGTTTTGATCTATATTTAAAAGTTAAGTGTGACATTGTAGTGGGTAACTGCTAGTGAAAAGCCACATTAAAAGGTTACATTGCAGAGGAGATATGTGCAGTTATAGTACCTGCTTGTAGCCTAAATTTTGTTCTTGTAGGACCTCATTATTAGAACTTGAGGACCTTTCCTTGATGTTTTGATGTTATTTGATGCTTCTTCATGCTATGATGTTGTTCAAAAACCTCATTATTAGAACTTGAAGACCTTTTCTTGATGTTTTGAAGTTATTTTATGCTTCTTCATGCTGTGATGTTGTTCAAGGACCTTCTTTTTAGAACTTAAGGACCTTTTCTTGATGTTTTGATGTTAATCGATGCTTCTTCATGCTATAATGCTGTTCAAGGACCTCGTTATTAGAACTTGAGGACCTTTTCTTGATGTTTTAATGGTACTTTATGCTTTTTCGTGCTGTGATGTTGTTCAAGGACCTTGATTTTAGAACTTGAGGACCTTGATTAATACTTTTCTGTTAGACTAGTTATAGTTGCTCCTGTCGAAATCTGCGAGGTTATTGTGAAACCCATATGCCTTCAAAAACACCATTAGAAGATGAACTCCAATTGGTCAGTGATCTTCTTGAGAAAGCCACCATTGCTAATAAGGATGCTTTTGAGGCATTACACATGGAGGGGTATGACTTTGCCTTTCCGACACCCTTCAACACAACGCCCAGCCTACAAAGTCTCCGGGATGAGGTCTGTGAAGAAGCATATTTCGTTGCATCCGCAGAACATTGCTAGCTGCAGCACATAAGTGAGACGTCATGTAAGATGCTGTCCTATAACTTGTACATATAGAACCTTCTCTCGGAGAAAAGCTTCAGTGACAGAAAGCGGTTACACAGCCAGGACGTGGCTAAAGGGTTCCTGCTCATCGTAGATCATATAATTACAACTGTAAACATGCTCAAAAAGGTGGTGATCGTAGAGGAGCCAACGTCCAGCAGGAAGGCTAACGAGCAGGCTGAGGAAGAAGATGTTGAAAATCAGATGGAGTTTCCTGAGGCGGGCAGTGAGGAGATTAGTAGTGAGTGTGATGAGAGTGAAAAGGAGGAGGATGTGGGTAAGGTTAAGGTGGTAAAGGCAGTAGAGAGGAAGAAGATCCCTATTAGTCACAACGTTGACCGGAGCTGCAAGGTTCCGGGCTCTCGGGGGTATAGGGGCCCAAACCTCAAAAAGAACCAAATATTTCTGGACGATGTAGCCGTTTTCTCCACAAGGGATGGAAGGGGAAGCATACCAGGGAGCCTGCTAGGAAGAGCAAAAAGGGAAAGGCCAAAGAGGTGGTGCCCCCAGCGGGCTATGACTTCCTCGGCGCCTACATGCCCGAGCACCTAGCAAAGGTGTACAAAATAAAACCCCGTCCTGCAAACATAAAGATATCTCTTAAGCTTGCATGAAAGTACTTGGGTCGAGAGGATGAGATAGATATAATGGTCACTGCGGCTCCGCCCATCAAAATAACTCCACCAAAGAAAAGGGCAGCAGTATTGCATGAGGATTCGGAAGATGGGTCATCTGTGCTGCCACCCCCATCAAAGAAGTGCAGGAAGGAAGCCAAGGAAGGCCCCTCACCATCACAAGCAGAGGGCTCGTTCTTGCCTAAGGTATTCATCATCACATTGTATACCACTGTAAAGTATTATCCAATTCAACCCTTTGGCTGCGATGTAATATCTGTCATTTATCTATCTATCATGTATCATCAGGGCAGTGAGTTCCACATGTCTGAACCATCCACAGACCAAGGCATTTATGTAGTGCCTCCTACCCTTCCCCCCACCATAGCATCATCACAGGCTGCTGGCGAAGATCCAGACCAGGACCTTTCAGAGTCTCAGTCGGAGTTGGAGTTCGAATACCCAAACTAGGAGGCCTACTTCACTGAGGTCAACCCCAACACCAAGCGTCACACATGGCTAGTGGCTTTTTTCAAGTATTTGGAGACACCCGCAACGGGCTTTCACCAGGCAAAAAATAACCTACACCACGCCTGTCAGATTAGTATCGTACATAGGACATTCTTTTTCCTCTTTTGTGTCCCCGATTACCTTGTCAGCTTGATCGCATGACACATTAAAAAAGTATCTCTTTCCATTCCAGGTATAAGCCATCCTAAGCCAGGTTGACCCCTCTGGAGGTGATGTACAGGTGCTTTGTGAGGAGGAAGGCAGCCGTATATGGCTCGATTGGGTTGTTCCTAACCTTATAGTCAGGGCTGCTGGAACGCTCAAAAGCTACCTGACATCCCTCCAGAAGTTTCTGGAGTTCTTGACCAGGAAAGGAGAACAGCCACACCTGCCATCACTAAAACCCGAGGACAAGGAAACCCTTTGCTACCTGGCCTCCTGCCTTAAAGGTTGGAGAAGATTCATCACCAAAGAGACTTCTTCAGACCGATTATCAGAAGATCTTGGATGAATCGGAACAAATTCTCACCAACCAGGACATCCAACAAATAATGACATCCAGACCTGCAGTTGATGGAAGGTTGGCGCTCAGCCAAGCAGAACTTGCCAAATCGGCACACATTCTGTCCCTACAGCAATACAGTGCTGCTCGAGACTTTCTCATCGTCTCGCTGACCCATGCTGTAGAGACATGACCTGGCGCCCTAGAGGCAGCCACATTGGGGATGTTAAGATCGGCTTGATGTGATGACGCACACCAAAGAAAGGTAATAGCAATGACAATATATAGCAATGAAGTTATTCCTAAGTAATGTTATGAAATTTTAAGATTATAATTTAGTCAATTATATCTTTTGTCCTTCTGGAAGGTAATACTGGTCACCTCACACAAGAGGGAGGTGCATGGGCCTGCCCCCATCCTCATGGATGCAGATCTGGTGCATCTCTTTGAGGTCTTTATGAGAAAATTGTGGCCACTCGTCACTAGTGATGTCAGTGACAAAGGACCCCTTTACCTAAAATCTAATGGTGCCCCCTATCACAACGGAAAGATCGATCGCCAGATCTCCACTTTTGTTGTCAAGAGCAGGGTCCGAGCAGACCAACTGATTGGCGCCACAGACTTTAGGAAGTGGATTGTCACAGAGATGAAGAAGAAGAAGAGGATGGATCAGCAGGTGGATGAGGATCTGCTGCAGAGACTAATGTGCCACAGTGACAAGATAGCAACACATTGGTATCTTCGAGAAGACCTGACAGAGCTTGCAGCAAAGGCCTCCCAGCAGATCCAAACCAACACCAGGTCAACACCTGAGAAATTGGGGAGAAAGAAGGAGGAAGAGGAGAAGCGAGAGGAGAAGGGAGAGGACAAGCGAGAGGACAAGCGAGAGGAGAAGGGAGAGGACAAGCGAGAGGAGAAGGGAGAGGATAAGCGAGAGGACAAGCGAAAGGACAAGCGAGAGGAGAAGGGAGAGGAGAAGGGAGAGGAGAAGGGAGAGGAGAAGGGAGAGGAGAAGGTAGAGTAGAAGGGAGAGGAGAAGGGAGAGGAGAAGGCAGAGGAGATGGCAGAACTGCTGGTCTCCCCCATCTGCACTCAAGCCGTCAAAGCTGGCAGAGCCAATCTGATGAGGAGTCCCTACCACAGAGGCCCACCAATACTCTGACCTCATCAGAGCTTGAATCCGTCGCTACTGCCTTCAAAGATGACATCCGGGAGGGATTTTCTCCCCAGAAAAAACGCACGCTCCAGATGATGAGGGGCAATGCGACCTTAAGGAAACTGGTGGACTCAGGGGGCAAGGTCAAAAGTGTCCAAGACCTTGTTTGCTATCTGATCAAAAGGAGAGAAATGGTGGACCCACACAAACTCCCAAAGAAGCCCACCTCTTCCAGAACTGAGAAGTATGTGTCAACACATGCAGTGTCCTTACCATCTGCAGCTTCTTGCGACTCTGGAAGGGTGCAGTGGACCCAGGAAGAGACTCTTCCCATCGAGGCGGCACTACAATAGAGTGCCTCATAACCCAGAGATATGGGTAATCTTCAGCCGCTCGAACATCCTCCGCAAGATCCTCAGGGAAAGAATACACAATAAAGTCAACAACCTTTTTTGAAAGCGTTAGTTGCGTGTGGCCTCAGTTCCCCCTTTAAAAAAAATACAAAAAATCAAAAAACAATTTGAAAAAAATTAAAAACAGAAAAAAACAAAACAAAACAAAACAAAAAAAGCAAACAAAACAAGTTCGTGTGGTCACTGTTCTATTCTGTTGTCTGATTCTGAAGGATTCGCCAGGGATCAAACGCAAGCTGGGGTAACCAACCCCTCGGGAGTGCCCCACGAATCCCTCAGTCTCACGACAACAGGTAGATCATATCATATGGCACGTCTTTTATTGTTTATATGTTGTGTAATGTCATATAATGTATATGTTGTGTTTGTTAACTCTGCCGTTGCCGGTCCCAAGCCCGCATGAGAAAGGAGGAGGGTTGGGCCTGGGGCTAGCAAGAAATCAGAGGAAGGAAAATGCGTGCACTGTAAGTTAGCTTCTGTTGTCCCATACAAAGCGTTAGAAAAGTTTCCACCCGGTTTGTATGGGATAACGAGAGCTAACTTACAGTGCACGCATTTTACAAGAGCTTTTTAATAGTCAAATTAACCCTAACCTAACCCCAAAACTATGACTCTGACTATGACTATGAGTATGACTCAGAATGTAACCCTAACCCTAAACCCTAGACCTTAACCCTCAGCACTTTTGCTCATGAATGTAAAGGATGATGTTTTCACTAAGTTTTGTTAGGGATTTAAATCCACAGACGGGGTTTCTTCCAGTGTATGCTTTGCTACTCTCTTGTGTTTTGAAGAGTTTCTGGGTTTCCAGTTTCCTCTATCAAAACCCACCAAAGTCAAGTCCCTCTTTACACATAAAGTTTTTCTTGCAGCAGGAACATCCTTGAGATGCCATGTGACTAAGAAGTCCATCAATTTTTCTTGTGGCTGGGATGCCTGATGAAACACAGATCAGACCAACTTTAATAAGCTGCTTACAAACTTCCACAGACAGTGAAATGAAATTTACAAGACCAGAGTGTCTACAATTCCTTGACAAGTGGTTCAAGAAAGTGTTAGCAGTTGGTTTTGGTTCTGAGGTTCCAGATAAAATACCCACAACAGTAATATTCTCCAGTTTCTACCTCTCATGGCGAGGCAGATTAAGAAACACTTGATAAATCACTCCCACAGATCCAGGAGAGTGTTTGTGGCCTAAACAATACAATAGTTTATTGACACTCCCCTGGTGGGGCATTTCGACGAGAATAAAATTAGAAACCATATAAACATTCCTACTTAAGAATTAATCATATGATGTTATAACTACATACTATACAAAGAGCACATTTCAAGTTAAAGTTATAATACATTAAAGTACTAATAAGGTACTAAGAGCACCAACACAACATGCTATTTAAAAAGTCAGGCCATTGACATGAGAAAGAAAACCAGTTGATGATAGCTCTTTCCATACATTTCCTTGGTAGATGTCAGTTTTGACAATGTTAGGTAACACCTGCCTTCTCCACTCCTGACTCTTGTCCCAAAATCCAGGTCTCCTAAGCAGTTGTTGCAAAGACTTTATAACAGAGTTGTATGCATAGACCATCCTTGGGTACAAGAAACTCTGTTCCAGTGCGAACAATCTTAAGGAGTACTTCATCACAAGGTCCTGAGTAACAAAACATATATATAGTTAAAGGCCAATTGAGTAAAAGAATGCAACCTTGTCCTCTTTAAATACAAGTAGATTTACAAACTATTAATAATTTCAAGTGTATTTGAAGTTTTGTATTATTTTTCGTTTGCTTGATTGAATCTACATGCGACTCTTATTGAGTGGTTCCAAGTAATATCCATACACTCCCAAGGAAGTTAACAAGTAATTCTGAAGGGAAGTGGGGATCAGTGCTGGCTGGTTAATTTGAATAAGCATTGCATTGTAAACCACTCAGAGATGAAAAAAACTTTAATGAATAATAATCTTAGTTATTGTGTAAAGTTCTACCAAGTTACCTTGGGAGTTGACTCACCTCTTCTGACCTATGGGGGTGCCTAAACCAGGGAACAAAGGTACACAGAGCTGACACTTGCCTCCCAAAATGATTCTTGACAAAGTCGTTGTAGCCATACAAAGTTTTGCACTTTGGACAGACGACATACTTGACGAAATCATCACTGTCCAAAAGCCCAAGATGTTTCTTGAGCTCTTGTACAAAGTGTTTGGCAATTCCTTTGCCGGTGCAGAAATAAAACTGTCTTTATTAAATGTTCCAACTAGCCAAAAAAATTACTAACAAATTTAAGTAACATCTCCATAGCTGAATCTGTAACAGAAAATGCAGACTGCTAGGAAAATAAGATCAAAAGATGCCACTAAATAAGCATGCCACATTTGTGTGAGAGGCACTGAGTTGTTCTTGTGGTCTCTCAGTGAAATCGATCTGGTTATTTCGGTGTCAATTTTTGCGGCAAACTAATAAACCGCTGATCCAAAATACCAGTGCCTGACAACAAAGCCGCTGAAACTGCTGACACCTGCAGGCCCGACCACGATGGATTGTCCAATCAGATGTAATTATAGAACTAGTCATTGCAAACTGACCAATCACATAACCTTGCTTAGATAGAGTCTTGGGGGAACCTCCCAAGTGCACAACAATCTGACTCAACTGTAGACACGACTGTATTGATCTTTCGTTTAACTTTTGATCAAAAATGGCAAGTTCTAGAATCGGAAACGCCAGTCCCTCAGAATTCCGCCTTCTTTTAATGAAACTGACTGAAATTCAAAAGAAATTGGACACAACAGATCAATTGTCAGTCATAGCACACCTGAGACAAGGAAACGATTCACTTCACATCGTTGAGAGAAACCAGACCAATATTTCTGATGCCATCCTTAACAAGCTGCAGAGTATCCAGATGTGGCTCGAAACTGGTTTCAAAGCCTTGAAGCAGAAGATTGCAGCTTTACAAAGAAAAGTTGTGGACTGTTCTGCCATCACAGAGGGAGGTGCTGTAAGAATGCTAATGCCACCATGTTCTTCAAAGAAAAGACAAATCGGCCACCATCCTGATCTCTTGGTGAGTAATCTTAGTCGACAACATATACGTTGTCCTTAGTGCATGTTTCTTAAGCAGCTTAGATTAATATGCAGACTTGTTTTAAAAAATTTTGCAGCTTGCCAACCAAACTCAAGAGACAGTTTTAAAATGCACGCCGTACAAATTTTCGATTTCTCACACCAATTGTTTCTTTTGCCACACAACTTCCTGTATATATGTTTGACAGACTCCTTGTGTCCTCTTTCAAAGGCGCCAAGGAAACTTTAATAATCATTTCTTCATTACTTAGTTTAGAAATAAATGGAACTAGTTCACAGCACTATTATTCATTCAAAGATGGAACAGTTGGGCCTTGCATGGAACACTGACAAGAAGTAAGCCTAAGCTTAATAGATCATGTTTAAGGTTATTTAATTTAAACTAATGTACAAACAAAAATTGTTGAAAAGTACAAACAAAATTTCTTTTTGCTTCAAATGTCTTCCTTTGGATGCTCAAAGAAATAATTTGATGAAAAGCTATTGGCTGATTGTGTAGTTTGTTTTAGACATTTGGGGCTTAGCTCTTCGTTAGTGGAAGTCAAAAGATAAGTTGTTGAGAAAGACCCTGGGGCCATGAGAAACAGAAAGCAACTTTCCCAACAAAACATCACCTGCTGATCAGACTTCCACCATTGAATGGCTAAGCCTAAACATCTGGAACAAAAAATTTTTTAATTTGCACTTTATACTTGAGCACAAGAACTCTGTTTTATCCTGTTTTAACTCAAAAGTTATCTTTCTCAGTTTGATTGTCATATTATGAACGCATGCAATTATTTTAGTTTCTCACAAAAAGAATGAGCCACCAAATCAAGCTGTATTAGCCACCATCTTGAAAGACGTCAAACAAATAGATTCAAAATGATTCTCTTTGTACTGAGAGAATTGTCTTTGACCTTGGGTTGAATTTAGATGAGACAAGTGCCTCATCTTGCCCCTTGCTCACTACAACCCTGAAAATGGACAATCTTTTTCATATAACTGATTGTGGCATACCTACCTTTCCTTTCAGATGCTATTTCTCAAAACTTTGCATCATCTAAGAAACGTAGACAACAGGAAGAAAATGGTACCTATGAGCAGTATCAGAGGGAGCAAAAAAGCGACAGAATTAAAAGGGTAAAAAAAGTTCTTTGGCTCTCTAACACTCAATTATCTTATCACCTTGTACGTTTGAATTCAAGTTTGATCTAAAAACTAGTTGAGGTTCAAATTACACTGTAGATCTGGTGATAAAAAAAAATTTTATGCCAAGAAGAACTCGATGAAAAAGATCGTTTCACAGTGATGCTAGCCTGCCTACTAGTTGGAACAAAGCTTCCCCCCTACACCCCACATAGTGTTTAAGTGAAAAACTATCCCA